CGGATACGGATGCCCCTTCCACTGAAAAAGGGAGGGGATATCTGGATGGCATGGGGCCATCTCTAACAGAAGGTGAAGAAGCATATTCATCTGGAAATTAGTGAGAAAAGAGTGACAGATGAGGCAGTAGTGAAATTTGTGGGACAGAGGAAAAAAGAAGAAGAAACAATGAAAGCTAAATTCCAACATGTAGGAATAACAGAACAGTTCAAACAGGCAAAAAATGTCATCATACATTACTAATACTCAAGTTCAACTTTGCAGGTAATATCAGTTTTTTTTTGAAGCAAGGGGTTTCCCTAAATCTGAGATTCTGATAAGTGAAATCTGCAAAAATCATGAAACACCCCCCTCATTGCACCAAAAAATGTCAGCATAATACATAGCCATCACCTTTTCCTTCTCAGTTGGGCTTCATGACATGATCTCATAGTCCTTATGTGTATACCATGTTTCCAGTCACCTGCATGCACACTGTCAGCAAACCTGGCTAGGTTGAGGGTGTCCTGGTCAATTTGGGATTTACTCAACCTATTTAAAGTAAGCTCATATGAACCATCAAATACAGTTACAAGGAAGAAAAATTGGATTCATATAAGTTAAAAGGGCTCACAATAACTTCTTACAAGAATTATTTTCATGTCTGGGAGAAGACTTCAGGACAACTGCAGAGTTTAATCTTGCCTGAATCATCTGCATAAACTTTGATGTGTGGGGAGGGCAACCAATAAGGTTTGCAAGAAGCAATAAAAATTGTTGCAAATACTGCTTTTTTGTCCAATCAGATCCTCCCATTTTAACTATGTAGGTTTATTAAATTGGAGACTTGTCCATTTTTAATGGATAAATATGAAAAACAGAAGGGCTAACAACCAGGCATGACTGGTGTCTTGTAACTATCTATAATCAGTTTGCCTCTCTGAGAATTTGGTTGTGAAAATTTCAATATTTGCATGTCCCTTGCTGTTATAGACAATTAAAAATAAGTATTCACTTACCTACTACCAAAATTAATCTGAGGATGTATGTATTAGAATGAGTTCCATTCATTTTTTTCCACAGTCTATTTGATCAGTTTCCCATTGAAACATGCTGCATTGGAAATGACTGTTTGACATGTCACTAGGTCATTTCCTCAGCTGGAAGTTGGTGTGAGCTGGGTGAGTACCTTCAAGTTGTGTAGTAGGAAATAGTATGTGATAAATTTCATTCAGCATATTCCTTTGCATCAAACAGACAAAACAACTCAACATGTCCTTAATGGGAGGAACAACATGTAAGAGTCACATCAACTCTTCACTGGTTGTATAGATAGGTGCAGTAGAATAGAGATGGCACTTGGCACCTGTTGGGGGGTACCTGTCACACTTTCAGGGCATGCCCTCTGCACCACAAGCCACTAATAATGCAGGCAGGGGTGCAGTGAAAGGTCTGTTCTGAAGGTGTGACAGGTACCCCCAACAGGGGCCAAGTGCCATCTCTACAGTAGAAGCAGACAAGTAGTCTGGAGAGAACCAATTCTAGATCATCAGTGTCTCAAATTGCATGTGAGCTAGCTCAGTGGAAAGAAGTGTGCTCATGTTCTCTTGGTAAGTAAAATCTGAATCAAGGGAGAAAATAGTGAGAAAGATGAAATGAAATACAGGAAAGCAAGGATGAGTGGAATGAGGGAAAGAAAAAAGAAATGCTTGCCTAACTCATGAGTAGAAAGAATTGTGATATGGTTCTCTACCAAACTAGAAGAGGGGGGAGGCCATGAGGAATAAATAGCTGTTGGTGATATAATGTGTTTGTAATCTGGTTTTTGAAACCTGTGAGTGGTGCAGGTGTCACACAGCATTTCATTTAAATATTTCTTTACTTGATGTGACATGTGAAGCTCTGTACCATATCCATTCAGTAAAGAATCAGACAAGTAGCCTAGAGAGAACAAATACTAGAAAAAAAGTGTCTTAAATTGTGTATGAGCTAGCTCAGTAGAAAGAAGTGTGGTACTTTTTCTCTTGGTAAGAAAAATCTGAATCAGGGGGGGAAATAGAATGAAATATGAAATGATATACAGGAAATCAAGGATGAATTAGAATGAGAGAAAGAAAAAAGAAAGACTTGCCTAGTGCAGTAGAAATAAGTGTGGTATGATTCTCTGCCAAGCTAGAACTGGGGGGAGGCCATGAAGAATAAAAGCTGCTGGGGATCTAAGGCTTGATTAATCCCGTTGAGTCTATTTTTTGAAACCCATGAGTGTTGCAGGTGTCACACAACATTTTGTTTCAATATTTATTTACCTGATAGGACATGTGAAGCACTGTACCATGTCTCTTCAGTACAGAATCTGGGATCTGTTTGGATAAAGAAGTCAATTCATATCTGAAAGATATTTAAGGATAAAGGGGATGCTCCATCAATTATTTTTTAAGGATGATTCAATTCCAAGATTATTATGACAAGTATTTGCCTATTGGGGCTCTTTAGCTTCTTTCTGGTTTTTTGTTCAATGAATGAATTGCCACACAATTTCATTGATGATCTTCATATTCAGGACCAACCCTCCAATAATCCAGTTGTCTGCACGCACTCATTGGCCCTGTCAAATTGGGAATTGCCAAAGAGAAAACTTTGGGTGCACAAATCTGCACATCAGAGCCCAACAGATGATGTTATTGATCATGGTTACACCACTTCTAAACTAAAAGAGCTCCAAGATGCTGGAAAGAAACTGAAGCTTGATTCATCAGAAGATTTGGTACCAAAAAATGAATGTGTATCTCTGCCACCGGGATTTGAATCTCAGCATCCAACATGCACTCAAGAAATTGGCAGATTTGTATCTGGTTCAACAGAACTATCACCCACTTCTGGCACCAAATATTCCAAACCAAACCAAACAATTGATCTTTTGTCTAGATTTGGTATTTCACCTCCTGCTGATCCTCCCAGAGTCCAGAGCTCTTGGATAAACAAGGAAAAGTCTTTACATCAAGGCCAAGATGAAACCAAGAAAACCTGGCTGGAAAATTATAAAAATGAGAATTCAATTCCTAAACACAATAAAAACATGTATTGGGAACCTTTAAATTATTATAGTATTAGAATGATTCATGAATCAATGTGCAAGAAGGCCAGCCTGAATAAAAATCTATCAAAATCCCACTGGAGAACTCAAATTCTAAATCAGCAAGAATTGAGGTGTTGTATTGATCCAAGCTCACAGGGAAAAGCTGGCTAAACCTCAGCAGATCCAGAAAATCTAGACAAAAACCAAAGAGATCTTTTGGAGAATCAGAAGTTTTTGAATAATGGGATTAATGAAAATTCAGTCTATGGAAGAGAAGGGAATTCTTGTGAAGCTCCTTTGAATATTGTTACTGAGGAACAGATTAGAAATCCTATATTGGGGATTGAGAGAAAAGGTAAAAGAAAAGCTTTATGTGATCAAATCCATGAATTTGAAGATCCAATTCCAGAGGTTGAACAAGAAGTTAAGGCAGTTCTTGAAAAAGTTAGAACAGGCTCAAAACTTCATACTTTGTTAGATTATGGAAATGGTGCTGAACTTTACCATCAAAAAAACTTATTCTACAGTGTCTTAAATCAAGGAAAACCTGAATTGGATCAAGTAAGTTCAAGCCATTCTTCTAGGAAAGAGATGCATGAAAGCTACAGAAGGTTATGGCATCACCAAGATCAATGGTTCAACTTTTGGGAAAGAAGTACTGGAATCAATATCTTGACAGAAATCAAGAGCAAAGTATATGTATCTAAAAATGTGGAAAGATTATTACATATATGCTTGTTTTACATTGAGATGATTGATATGATCATCAACAAAGATGAAGGGATTCATCCAGTGATTGAGAAGAGGAAAGAGATTTTCAGCAATGCATTGAAAGTGTTTGAAAAATTTACAACAAGTTCACATTATGAAAAGTTTAAAATTGCAGACCCAAATAACTCATACAACTTGATCCACACTTTGGTTTGGCCTTTCTTGAATACTTGGATTAAGGAATTGGGAAACAAGGACCTGGAGATACTTGCTTTTAGAGGGAAAGATTTTATACACGATGGATTCAAGAGGTTTTTCAACCACATGCTCAAGTTCTCATGTGACAAAGTGAAGGTTTAAATTGAAACATGGTCAACGACCTAATTTTCAATTATTTTTCCCATGCTTACTGTAGTTCTTCTCTGACAATATGGATAGATTTGATTTCTGTATCTATCAAACCCATCAGGGTTGTCCAACACAAAATGATCATTCAAAATTTATGAATGGTATCTATCTGGTTATATTTGACAATTGAGGTTCAATAAGAGTTAATAGAGTTTAAAATCTGTTGATGATGATTTCAACTCCATTATGTTAAGAATAATCCTTTGAGGGCAGCCTGGCAGGTTCAGACAAACCTTGATTTTTGATCTCAGGCTCACTCAGTAAAAGTTCCCTCTGGTTGGTGGCTTTCTGTGTAAGACTGGGATTGGGTGCAGAACCCCCTTCCAAAAAGAGTGACTTGCCTGTGAAGTCAAATTGCTGGGGAATATTCACGTTTTCAATAGCAGAAAATGGCATCCTGTTGAAAACAAACTCACTGATCCATTTTGGAAATCTTCTGGGCCCTATCTCACAAATTCTAGATCTTCAGGCAGACCACCAACTTTTGCAAGTTGCCTATTGGCTGTCTCCTGTGGATGTGCTGACAATTGCCTTCAAGCTAAGACATGAACTGGCCTTGTGGGCTGTCATTGTTATTGACCGAAATTAACCAACAATGGAGCATATAGTTCTGTTAAGAATATATTGTTGTTGTTCATGCCAAATTTCACAAACACTGTCGATCACTTTTTTCATCACTTGCACTTGGTTTCTTTATTTTATCAGAGTTGTTCAGTGCTGTCCTTGGTGCACTTGAATTCCCCATCCTCACTTGCAACTCAAGGTGTGTACATATCTTACTCCGAAGATCACCCCACGCTCTAATACTCACACGCGCATGTTAAGTCCACCACTCAAGCTCACATTTTTTATTCCCATGCCATGTGATCGATTCTAGGGGGTGGCTGTGCAATTAAAAAGAGTTTCAGTTCAACTCTAAGATTAAGAAATCAGAGGCGCTTATCGCCGGATATTTCCTGGTGTAAAATTTGGCTGTGCGTTAAGCGTCATGGGTGATTCATTGAATTGCGAAACAAGTCAATATAAGACGCAGCGAAAAAAAAAGCCGTAGATTCCCCCAAAATGCAAGAAATCATAGACGACGACCACGACGACCACCTGAATGAAGGGGAATGTCAGTATAAGATCAAGCGATGTGATTGTAGATTAGATGGCGTACCTTTTCTGCGAGTGCTGTCGGTAGGGACAGGGGTGACATCCTCAATTCGGCCAATGCGCATACCGGCACGGGCGAGAGCTCGGAGAGCGGCTTGTCCACCGGGGCCAGGAGTCTTGGTGTGAGTTCCACCGGTAGCACGGAGCTTGATGTGGAGGGCAGTGATACCGACTTCCTTGCAACGAGCGGCAACGTCTTGAGCGGCCAACATGGCGGCGTAGGGCGAGCTCTCGTCACGATCGGCCTTCACTTTCATCCCACCAGTAACACGGGAGACGGTTTCACGGCCAGAGAGATCGGTGACATGGACGAAGGTATCGTTGAATGACGCGAAGATGTGAGCGACACCGAAGACGAGTTCACCTTCCCGGACTTGGGGTCCGAGGGCAACGTTGACCTCCTCCTTCACAACTTTGGCACCTTTCTTTGGGGGCTGCAGATGAGAAAATCGGCGATGAGTTTGAGGGTCGTGCGGGGGAAGAAGGGATCCAAATGAAACACACCATGTTGATTTCTTGATTTTCTGATCTACCTTGATTGATCCTCAACTGGGGCTGACTTCGTTGGAAGCAGGGGCCGTGTCGAGTAAGGGTGTGGTGGGCGTGGTCGTTGATGGGGGCTGTTGGCGATCACTCGTGCGAGCGGCGTTTGACCAGCGATACGGACTCAAAACCTATTCGGGTGACATGTGGTAGTCGTGCTGCGCAGCTCTTCGGTGGACGCAGCCTGCCTCCACGGGTGACAGGCCCCCCGTGGGTTTGACCTAACTTGATGATAAGCGGCCCGGCCACTGGTCAGCCAACTTCCATCCGGTACATAGCACCGCAACCCACGCCGAACATCAGCCAGCTCCGACCAGCAAGTAACCCGACTCAGCAACTCCAGCCGATCAAGACTTCACAATGGTAGGCTCTTCAACTCTTTCTTCATTGTTCTGTTTCTCGTTGCTGGTCCCACTCGTCCTCGAGCCTTGAACCATGCCACATGAGAAGCGGACACAAATATAGCTTTGGAGATCATTGGCCTGACTCCCTTGCTTCCTTGCTCTGCAGGGTGTCCGAGGGCAAAAGAAACACATGAAGCGGTAAGCAAAGTTCTCCATCAGGCCTCGTCCAAAATTCCTACCTGTTTTGCATCACTCACATGTGCATTCCTCCTAATCAGTCTCGCGGCGCCATCGTCATGGATGCTCGACAAGCTCGGTGGTACCTACGCTCCCCGATCTAACCCAGGTCCTCACAAGTTGCGCGAGAGTCTTCCTTTGAGTGTGAGTGACTATGCAATCTGTTCTTCAGTCTCGGCAGCTGACCCTTTGCTCCTACAGGTGCTTCTCCGCCACCGTCTGAAATACGCCTTGACTGGGCGTGAAGTCACCTTGATTGTCGCCCAACGACTCATCAAGATTGACAACAAAGTCCGAACCGACCCCAAGTTCCCGACCGGTTTCATGGGTGGGTTATCATCCCACCGAGTCCTTCACCGCCACACGCTGAAACCTTGCCTCTTTACAGATGTCATTTCAATCGAAAAATCCGGTGAACATTTCCGAGTCATGTTCGACATCAAGGGCCGATTCACCGTCCACCGAATCAGCGCTGAAGAGGCCACCTACAAGCTTTGCAAAGTCAAACGTGTCCAACTTGGAAACAAGGGCGTTCCATTCATTGTCACACACGATGGCCGTACCATCCGATACCCCGACCCAATCATCAAGGTTAACGACACCATCAAGTTCGACTTAGTCCAGAACAAGATTGTCGACACCCTCCCCTTCGAAGTTGGAAACCTTGTCATGTGCACAGGTGGTCGTAACCAGGGCCGAGTTGGCACCATCCTCAGCCGAGAGAAGCACGGTTAGTGCTTATCTTCCTCTCGGCCCCTAATTCGTATACTGACCTGGATGCTTTTTTTCAGTCGGTGGATACGACATTGTCCACGTCCGAGACGTCATCGACCGAACCTTCTCCACTCGTATTGGGAACGTTCAGGTTATCGGCGCCCACGGCAAACCATCTGTCTCCCTCCCTCGTGGCGGTGGTGTCAAATTGACCATTGCCGAAGAGCGTGATCAACGACGAAAACAAAAGGAGAAAGAAGGACATTAGTCTCCCTACCACCATCTATCCGATAGCTCCATGCTCTCTAGCTACATGTGTTTCTTGCCCTTCATGACCTCACGTGAAAAGAGTTAATCATCCATTATGCCTCGTACCTACAGTGGCGCGCGGCATTGCACTGTACAAGGCTGCCCGCAAAACTTTTCTGGTCGCGCGGGGTTAAACCCCGACCCCGATGGGGGTCCAGCACTTGTAATAAGTGTGTTTTTGGAGTCTACAGGGTGTGTAGATTCCAAATCTAAAGTTGCAAACAATTTGGTCCAGCCAAAAAAAAAAAAACTTTTTTTTTCACTCGACCATTCGGACATAGGTCGTGTATGGGGGTCTTAGTACATACTTATGGGTTAGGGAGGTATCCTAATCCCATACTCACATGGCCAACTGTCAGCCAAAACCCATAAACATGAGCTTAAAGTGTATTTCACAGGTCAATTACAGCAGCTGTGACACCGGATTTACATCTCAACCCCCCAAAAACAGGCGAAAATCACAAAAAAATCCAAGTTTTGGGCCCCGACCTTTCGGACATCGCAAAACCTTGTACAGTACAATGCCGCGCGCCACTGTATGCAATTCATTTCGCAAGGATGATCATCCTCAGTGCATTGAGTCTTGAAGTTGCGCCCATGGGTGCCCTTCATATTGTGACATCAAGAAGAGTCAATCATCCATTATTTCCCCTCCTACGCCACTCATTTTGGTCGTGATTTAGCGCAGAACATTTTACTATCTGATTCTCTCGCTCCGGACTTCTCATTGAACATAACTGGTTTTCGAAGATCGATTTCCTCATTGATATTGAATCGTGACGTTCCCGCCACAGCATACCCTGCTCATGTCCATTCTCGAAGCAGCTCCACTGGAGACAGCAAGGAATGGCTTCAGTTTTTTGATGCGCCCTCAAAGTCCGGATGGACGTCGTCCATTGCAGTTTCCTTGGAGGTTCTTTCTCGAATAATATGATATATTGGATTATCTGATATGGCTGTATTCTTCACAATTTTAACTTCGCAGTCAATTGTAAGAGAGTAAGGCACTTCCTACCACTAAAGACGGAGTTACCGAGCAAACGTTTTTTGCTTTCTTCATCTTGAACCATCGCAACCCGAAGCGGCGAACACTAATGTATAATTCAAGCCGACAATCTGACGCTTGGCAAAGAGTTTTCTGGCATTGTGCTCATTGTAAATGGTACACTAGTACTGATGGCAAACGTGATGGATACTGTCGAACGCGTTGTTGATATCCTTGGCAAGTCACCAGAGCGACAAACAATCCAAGTCAACAATCCATCCTCCCTCTAACAGATATCGGAGCTGACAGTGGATAATGTTAATCGCGTTGCCTATGAGTTTCCAAGACTGGCTTCAGACTCAATTACGGATTTACCACAGGTTGAGATAGGGATGGGTGCGCCTATGGGGTGCACTTGTATATTGAGAGGTATATTGATACATGTCGATTGGTTGTTTTGCATAGCCCTTCAAGTCAGTCAATATCGATATGGAGAAGCACCACTTCAACAAGATAGCTTGCCATATGTCAACATACTACCAAGTCGACTAGTTCACTCGGCCGCTGAAGGATTGGAGCATGTGTGTGCTCAGACATAAAAAGCAGGATTGCTACGCTCATCTTTCGAAGTATAACACCTTCAATCAATTCGGAGTATCCAATCCATCATCCACTAGCACCATTTCTTGGAAGTTGACATTTATCATCTGACTGATTACCATTCACAAAGCTTATCACACCGCGATCATGCCTTCTTTGACTCTTACTCACACGGTAGCTCCAGTCATTGGGGTGAAGCGAGAGAGTGAAGCGCCGTTGATCAATCCCAAAAGAAGAGCCGAGGTTCCGGACATTATAGAAATCGACAATTTCCCCGATGTGGCAGACGGTGCTCGAGTCCAGTCCGTCGCCCATACGTCTCGTGAGGTTTTCCTGTTACTCTTTTGTTGAACTGGCTCTTTATTTGCAAAAAACTGATAATTTCGTTTTAATTGTGAACATTACCCAGATTTGGAAGACGGCGCTCGTGTCCGGTCTGTTGCTCAAAATCATCGTGAGGTCTTTGTGTTGCTCTTTCATTTGGTGTTTGTTGAGAAGCTGAAACTTTTGGGTTAATTTTGAATATTTCTGATCCCTCGTATCCGATTGGTCTCAGGAGGTGTTAATCCGGAAGCCGCTACACAATACTTTGACCGTGACATTGAAAAAGAACTCGCCCAGCTTGACAATCATATCATCAAGTGGGAAGTTGCGCGGTCCATCTTTTCCTACCCAGTTGAAGATCAACGCAAGGTGCTCGCCAGTGATCTTCCATCCGATCCACGCGACTTGAACTTGACCACGATTGTGCCGGGATGCGGGGTAGACTACGACTACGACATGCAGATGTCCACCGTGATTGATCAGATCAAGCATGAGATGAAATCCGAGGAGAATCCGACAGACGAGAGCCCAATCCAAAGACTGATTCGCTCCGGCGATGTCCGCTTTGCCATCGACCTGTCATTATCAGAGACTGGTTGGCGAAGCAAAATGACCAATGCGCGTCTAGCAACTTCGAACGAACTCTTGAGAACATATGGCTCCGATTGTTGGATCCAATTCCATCTGAGCGAGGCGATGTTGTTCCAAATACAGTGGAGTGGCCGAAGAATCGGAGTTGGGAATGAGATGTGGCAGTTTTTTCATCGACCGCTTAGGTTCTGTCACAGAGTTTATCGTTCGGCTCTCGTCAAGGATGTAAGGAAACTATACCTCAGAAATTTTCTCTTAATCTTACTGACGGATTTGTCACTTTCAGGAATGTGTCTGGTTCTTCACCTCACCCATGAATTGCCCAAGGCCAATGTATACAACCGACATGATTCAAAAGCAATTACCTCTTGAGCTCAATCCAACAATGAAGATATCAAAATTTGTGAGTTAGTTCTAGTTCTAAGAGATCAGGAGATTCCCTTTTTTTTTGTAAAAAAAAAAATCTCTGACATCATGGGGGTTTGTCTTTCCTGGATGACTCGTATCAAACAGAACTCTCGATTGCAACTTGGTCTTTCAACAACCACGCCTAGCATCAAGTTTAATCTCAACCAAATCCGAAGGGTTCCCGATATATACACAAGCTCTTTGCGGATCAGCAAAGAACTTATGTCGGACATAGCCACCAAGTTGGGACTATCATATGTGCCGTGTATGCCGCTTTCCAGTTTATTTTTTGTAGATTTGTGAAAGATGTATGACTGCAATTCTAATTGCTAGCCTTTTTTTGTCGTGTTTTTAATGACCAGCGGCAATTTCGGGGGCCCATAAGGTGACAGAAGCTAACTATGTTGGGCAAAAATACTCGTGGGCTCTATTTGACCCGGTGGGATTACCCGGACAAATCCTACTCCAAGTATGGAGTAACGATCACATCAGCAATGGATTGATAAAATTTTTCAAGTTCCAATTTAGTATTCCGGTTTATGTGCCATCATCTAGACGCTGGAAGGACGTTCAATGCGATATTGTTGTTCCACGGATGCGCATCGAGATAAGAAAAGGCAAGCCGACCGACGAGGTAATGATGACGGACGGTGCCGCTGCAATAGGTTGGGGAGCTGCGCTAGGCATCAAAAAAGCTCTTGGACTGAGTTATCTTCCAGGTATTCTTTTTCTAATTCCCCTGGTCTTTTTAGACTTGTTAAATTCAGTTTACTTATTAATCTATTGCTTTCTATCCCAGCGGCATATCAAGCGCGAATATTGAAAAGTAAAGGTTGGTTTTCTTTGGAGGTAGTATTCGAGAGATCTTTTAAGGCGCTCTAATAACACTCTAACGTCTTCTTTCAAACAGGATTGTGGTACTTGAGTCGAGATCTTGACAAGGACGGTTTTTGGATTGAGATTCGCGATAGCCAATGGAAAGGTGACGTGCGGTGCAAGCCAGGTGATGCGATAACATTCAACATATGTAACTTCTCTACTCGAGCCAAAGCCGGGCATGTCAACCGACAATCAATTCCGGTAAGGTGCTACTTCTTGACTTTGAGAGTGCAAGTGCTTAAAAGTGCCTTGTGGGCTGACATGTTCGAATCTCCTCTGATTGGCATTTTAGGTGATAGTTTCGAGAAACGTGCCGGTTTCAGTATTCACGGATCGGCAAAGGGAGGCGTTCAAAGCAGTTTTGGATGAACTGACGTCGACCAACCCAGTCCACCTATCCCAAGCGCTCGAGGTCCACGGCCACTTGTTGAACCTCAAAGCCAAACGACTCACGACAACCACCAACAGCTTTGTCAGGAAGGAGGTGGACGAGGTCGGAGTGACTTGGGAAAAATATTCCAACCGTCCGTGTAATGCGATGGAAGAGATTGTCGAATTACTCAAAAGCGGCTTCACTGCCCGAAATAATCGGGTTGTGGACAGACTGAATGTTGCCGGAAAACAGATCTGCGAAAAAATGGTATGTTCCTCTGATGTGTTATGTCTCTTTTTCATTAGACCTGGATTCTTTTTGATTGATATAGACAAAATTGTTTTACCTTGTGTAGATGAACTTCAAGGTAGAAATTAGCAGTAGTGCAACTATTTATGCAATACCCGATCCGTATGCCCTTTTTTTGTTTTCAAGCTTGCTATCATTGATTGAAATTTAACACGATTTTTGCCCTCTTTTTTTAGGACCGGAACCCTCAAAGAGGGGGAGGTATTTCTGCGTCTCTCTCGGTTCAGGTCAGAACATTTCATTCAAAGCGCCCCTGATGTGGATTTGGCTCACCCGGTCCTTATTGGACTTCCTTTACCAGAGATCCCAAGACTTCTGTTCCGGTTAACATCTTGAAGGGGGATTGCGTCGTTGCCAGATCCCCATGCGTGCTTGTCAGTATCTAGAAATTATTATCAAAACAATTAATCTTCATCCTTGGCTGACAGCTTGCCCGTTCTTCAACGTCTGGATGCTATAGCCAACAGATGCAAGAAAAGTCAAAGCTGTAACCAATCAGCGGTTAGCATGCTATGAAGACGTTCTAGTGTGTTCAATCCAGGGAAAAAAGTCTCTTCTTGATTACCTTTCTGGCGGTAAGTGTTCAGATTCTATTAATTAATCCGGGCCGAAAAAATTGACTTCTTTCATTTTTTGGTTTGTATTTTTCTCTTTCTTTTTTTTTCAGGCGACTATGATGGTAAGCATTTGATTTTTGAGAGTGAAAATCGACTATCTCTAAATTTCTGATTTCTCTCTTTTTTTGGGATAATGTGCACATTCAGGTGATGTGGTAATTGTGATTTGGGATGATGCCTTCACCAAAAATTTTGTTAATGCGGATGATAAGCATCTGCTCCCAACGGAAAAATATAACAACTTCTTCTCAGGTGAATGACCCAAACTTACGTTTTTATATTGTCTATACAAATATGTATCTTGATTGTTGAAAGATGTTTGTAATTTCATTGAACCTGTAGATACCGTTGCGTTGGCTGCCTCCGGAAGAGGCTCAGGTTTACCCACAATGAAAGTCCAAGATTTCATCAATCTAAAACATGAACATGGGACTTTCGACCGAGAGTTTAGACGAGCTCAACTTGTCTCGCTATTTCAGCCTGTAGCTTTTGGTCGCTATTCACGAATGTACAAAGTGTGAGCGATTTGAAAACCATGCTCTTACTACTGTCTTTGCTTAACTATACTGTTGTCGAAAACTTGGACAACTTTTTCTTAAAAAAAAGTTGTGAATACTTATTTGGGATCAGCCATCCGTTGACCATGAAGATGGGTTACGGTAAGCAGCCAGAATTGAGTACCATTCCTTTGATATGTGTTTTAAATTTCTGTGCTAATTCTCATTCTAATTTGTTATCTCTAACGACAGTTTATACCAAATGTTTGGATGCGGCCAAGCAAGGTGTGTGGATAGATCTATTTTGCTAAACATTTCAATACGGTATCCGTTGATTCACAACGGATGTACAGGCACGATCTTGAAGGCAGAGGCCGACTATGACTTGAAACAAGAGTTTGAAGAAGCTATTGGAGGTCTTAAAAATGGGGTGATTCCACTTCCATACTGGACTTCATATGTTGACATTTCGAAGGACGAGGGGAGCAGAGAGTGGAACACCGGCTCTAGAGAAAATGAGAGGCATTATCTACCGCTGAAGAAAGACCATGTTTTAGGTGGGTATGCAATCCAGAAGTCTGCTTCTATGGGTAATTATTCCTACATCGCTTGATTGAGCTGACTTGATTTAATTGACAGAGGCTATTGCCTCCACCAGTCAAGAGGAAGGGCACAAGTTCCTCTTCACGTTGAAGAATTTAGAAGTAGACTCTAATGATCCCTGTCTTAGTCTGCCGTGGCAGGAGTTTGAGAAAACTGTCAAGTCCAACCTGAAGCATGCCCATACCTTGCTGGATTTCATCAAGTCAAACGCCGAAGTAAGTGTCCCATTGATCTTCATAGTACAGTTTCAAACAAACTTCCATTCATCAATCGTGCCATTCCGAACCCTCTTATCTAGGAATGTTATGACCAATACCAGCATGCATTATACCGTGAATGCAGCCAATATAAGGTGTCGTCAACATGGAAGGAAAGCAGACCCGACAAATTCAACTTCGAAGCTGCCGGCAGGACCTTTTGGGTTGACGGTCGATTTGAGAATGCAGTCAAAGCAGTCGAAAATGATCGTCACTCACTTACTTTTCTTCGGGGAAAAGGGATAATTGAATACAATAATATCCGAGTGGGTTTCGGTGTCTTTTTATTTCTTTTTTCTTTGCTTCAGACTCAAGCACTTTCAAAGTATTATACTGAGCTATGAATTTCACGTAACCATTTTAGGCTTCTGCATTAGCAGCAATCGCACCAGAACAAGACTTTTTTCCATTCCACGTGGTATTCAATGAGGTATCTTCATGTTTTTATTTATTTATTTTTACCACAAGAATTTATGGAACCGATTATTCTTCAAATTAATTTCTGTTTTTTTGAAACAGCTTTGTCAGATAAGAGCTTCGGCGGCAGAAATCTGTTTCCAAGCTCAATCTGGGATCCACAGGATAGGCCATTGTCCCAAATCTTTCGCTCCCGAATTTTGGCAGGCCATGATGACCAAAAAGTCTCTCCTTCCGCCCGAGAAATCTACTATCCTGTAATCTTCATTTGTCTTTCTGCGGTGATTGCTTTCTTTTATCCAAGCCCTTCAAAAAGAGAAACTGAAAAAAAAAAAACGGCAAAACGGATTCCAAGCTACTCTTGTATTTTTACTGCTAGTTATTTACCTGATCAAACATGGAATCGGGGATCAAGCTACGCAGAAGAGTTATACCTGACTTTGTAATTTTACGCGCCTTTCTGAACTGAACTCACATACATGACAATGAAAGACATCACATATCAAGAATTTTAAAATAATCCTTCTATTTCTGCTGAGCATTCCCTTGAGGCAGAGCCACATGAACAGAGCTCTATGCATATTTCTGAATTCCCCTCATTGAAGTCGAATCTGTATCAGCGGTGAAACTCTCCACTTGAAGGATGAGTCGGTGATGCTCCAATGCGTCTAATGAATAGAGCTTATTTTTCAAAATCTTGGATAGATGAATGCTATGCTAAAGCCCAATTGGCTTGCGCTCCAGCCGGTACATAAGCTATTACATAACCTTGACCAATGTATGCGGAGCTTTCATAATCTAAACCAAGTTCCTCTTTTCCAGGCAAACACGCTTGCTAAGCTAGTACAACAAGGTTCTAGATCTGAACGCGCTTTCTTATTCCGTTCGTTTTTCTTTGATTTTTAGCCTACAACTGGAGTATATTCCAGCTCACATCTATGATCTTGTTAACCCTCATTCCGCTCCTGATCTGATCACTACCAAGTACCACCACTCCACAAGGTATGTGTTTACTTTTGGCATATCCAGTGAGCTTGGTGAATGCGGATTGATATATAAAGTCAGTCCACTAAGCATTCCCAGATGCAAGGAGTTGAATGAGACTAACATGAACAGCTGATGCTTTCTCGAGTCAAGCCGACGTGAGATGATGAGCGTATGTAGTGGTGCCAGCTGGTGGCTCTATGCGCAAGTGGGAGTCAGGATGCACAACTAGTACAACCTTGCTGGTCAGCCCAGACTGCATATTACAATCCTCCTTTTGTCAGTTTCTTCGATTGGAGTTCATAAATCGTTGTGGGAGCTTGTTTTCTGTCTTTGGGCTCTTAGTGAGCATACTTGGCAATCCGGATACCAAGTTCGACCTAACTCAGGCCAAGACATCATCAACTTGTCTTCGTCTGTAGCTTTGGAATCATAGAGAAAAATACCTCTCCGCAAAACTGAACTCGTTATCCGAGTCTGGATTGGATGCAGCAAGCTATGTAGCTGGTTTATCAGATTGGTTTAAACTAATTTCAAGCCCATCGTTAGCCGAAAGGCACCCCCTCCTGAATCCGACAAGTTCTTTTTTCCGCTCGAAAGGTTGTGAGTTTCGAGCCCCAACAAGAAGAATAACTGGTAACTGGATCTTTAATCTTCGGATTTTCTTGAAGTAGAATCGCAAGGCTAGGATGTCGTCTCATTTCCTGAGATCACAAGTATCACCAAGCTACTATTACAAAGCCAATCGCCTGGGGTAAACTCTTTGCTGATAACATTGAAGGCATCAGGAGTTGGACTCCTTTAGCAATCTGTAGGAAAACCTGTCACCACTTTTTCCTTGATGAATCGAATGGTGATTATGGTGATTTCACTCTTACGTACCGTCTGGTCGTGTGTGGACCATCTATAAGAACAGCCGAACAAAATATGACAAACGCTCTCGATGTTCAATTAAGTGGATTCTGTTACAAAGAAGTATCATCAGTTTTGTTGCCATGCTTAACCGTCAGGATACCGCTATCGAAGATACAGTGATTGCCGAATTGGTCGAAACTGACCTTAGCAGATGGCATCTTGATTCCAGTAGAGAAGGTCAGGTTGCATGGACATATGATACATCCATGGGGCGGGAGATGGGAGAACAGTCTTTTGAGACTAAATATTGGCTATCAATACAACAAGTCCGTAACTTTTTACCGCCTGGGCTTCACTTCAAAATGGGCCTCTTCTTTAAAGTTCATTTGTGCTGAGTCTCCACAAAACCGTTCTCATCACAGCAAACCCCACT